GCTGGACATAAGGAAGAATTTCTTTACTGTCTGAGCCCCCAAGGTCTGGAACAGCCTGCCATCGGAGGTGGTTCAAGCACCTACATTGAACACCTTCAAGAGTAAATTGGATGCTTATCTTGCTGGGATCCTATGACCCCAGCTGACTTCCTGCCCTTTGGGTGGGAGGCTGGACTCGATGATCTTCTGAGGTCCCTTCCAACCCTAATGTCTATGAAATCTATGAAGTCTGATACTACAGCCATCCATAATTACCTTAGACAGGTTCTGGCCATTTTGAAAGTGGTCTGTGTGCACTGAACTTTTGCTGTGTTACATAGTTGAATCAGCTCCCAATCACTTATACTGGATTATGTGTACTGTATGTCCCTAGTTCATAGGTATAGAATATTTGTAAAAAAAAAAAAAAAATGTTTTGGAATATTGGAGGATGTGTGGGTTAGCTGGACTCTAGTGAACCCTAATTTTTATATATTTATTAACAGGAGGATAAAGATGTTTTATATAAATTATTTTAAAATTAAATGACAACAAATAAAAGATGTCTGTGTAATATAGTGTTAGGCATTTCCTAAGGCTCTAATTCAGCAAGGTACATGTGGGCTAGGGACAGAATTTATACATAAACCAATTTAAGTCATCAGAAATTGGTTTAAACCTGTAACAGAAGAGAAGTTCGGTGCACATAAACAGTTTGAAAATGGCTGACACTGATTTGAGTTAAAGCTGTTTGAATGTAGTATTAGACTTAACTGATTTGGGTCAGTTAACTGATTTGGGTCAAACTGATTTGATAAGCAACCCTGAAGAGTCCTGCTACTGTGATTCTGGACTGCAAATCCCAGACAACTCGGGGATAGCTGGAAGAAGAAGTGAACACACAGCCCACGCTGGCAACATGCCAGAGAGCCATGCTTTAGTGCCCCCTGGCTTCTGGCCTAAACCTCTGCAGGCATGTGGCTGCATTTCCTGAATCAACAGTGAATGTCTGTCCATATGTTTCTCAGTTTAAACTCTGCAGTTTAGACCAACCTGCAAAGACTGAATAAACTCTGCCTCAGGCTTTTTGACTGTACTTAGCTATGGGGTATATACAAGAACTATATTTAGATCGACCTAGCTAAGGTTAGGTTGATATAAATGCGAGATTCTGCAGGTGTCATAAGGCTTAAATCACCCTAAAAGTGTGTACCTGATCCAAATTCACTTCAGGAGGTGAATTAACTTGAGATTGATAAAGGGTTAACCAGATCTATGAAGGGTTAATCCAGTCTAGCAATCACCTTTACATGTTCAGCACAGCTCCAGGACTGGGAAAGCCCAGCCACTTGCCCCAGCCCTGGTGCTGGGATGTTCCTACCTACCAACTCTAAGCAGACTATTTTTAGGCCCCCAACCAGGGCAGCCTCCCTCACTGACTTACCAACCCATCTGGACCTGCTAGCTCCCAACCAGACCTACTACCCCCACCAAATTCAGACCTACCAACCACCCCAATCTCTCCAGACCATTGCCACCCCCTCCTCCCACTGAAGTTACTTACCTCAGGACACCTGTGCTGCTCCTGGAAGCAGTGAATGCCTGTATATGGCACTCCCGGTTAGATTTAGGCAGCATAAAGTGCATGTATATACCCATGGTTTACTTGAAGCAAGTAATTATTTACAGATTTGAAGTTAATCATACATATAAGGACCTTACTGAATTGTGATAAAAGCTTGGTATTTAGATTTCAGGTAAAATAAGGGTGGACAAAGGTACCCAGTTTATTTCAGCTCCTTTGTTATTGATATTGTTTTTCCATTATGAAGCTCAAATGGATTTCGGAAATAAAATATGAATGCAGAAGTTAAGCAAAAGAAATCCATGTTTTAAAATGCTCTATAAAGGGTGGCTACAGAGGATAAGAGAGCTTCAACTTCAACTTCCAATACTTTTTTTTAAAATAAAAAATTAACACACATAGGACCCCAAATATCTTCTT